TCGAAATACAGTGAATGTAAAACCTTCCAGCACAGTAATTATTTGTGTGATTATCTTTAACTGAATATCAATAACACCTTTGTGATTTCCATTTTTCGTTTCTACAAGTGCCTGGTTTTAACATGTTTATAATTTAACGCTTTTCGTTCTGTTTTTTTTTTTTACTTTTGGCTGCGTGTATGAAATATGTTGTCAATGCAGACCCGTAGAACGCGGGAGGGCCAGGGGGTATAGTATTTTGCCATAGTAAATTTTTTAGATGCTTTTTGCCCCCCCCCCCCCTGCCAAATTCCAGGATCTGGACTCAAGGAAATCTTTTTATTATATTTTTTGCTTGTCTGATTATTTTGGGAAGTTGCCCCCTTCCCTTTTGGACAGTGTTAGGTTTTTTATTGTTTATCACATTTTTTTTTTTGAAGGTTGCCCCCCCCCCCTTTTTTTTTAAACCGTTGCTACGAGTCTGCAATGTGATATTAAACAAGTGAATGAATAAAAAATATCTATGATAATATAACGTAAATTTACATCAGTATGAATAACGTTTTCTTTGCATATTGTTTAATAATATATATCATATCTGCACATAGAGTTAAGATTTACACAATGTAAGTTAGAATATACATGTACATAAGCATTTCTAATGACATCATTCATTTATGAATTCTTTATTGTAATCTGAAATAGTGTTTTGGAAAAGACTAAAAATAATTTAACAGATATTAGCAATATTTTTTGTTAATACAAGATCATATAGATTATTAATAAAATTTTTTGTTTTTTTAGAATGGAAATGCGGTATGACGCCATTGTACTCAGTAGATGTTTCTCATACCCTTCCTTCTACATTGCCTCCAGGAAGACCTGATGGAAAGCTTATCATAATCATTTTCAGTGTGATAATCACATTTGCTGTGATTTCAATAGGGATTCTTCTCGTTTTGTTTATAAAGCGAAAACAGTCAAAACCACTACCAATAAAAATGGGTAAGCCATTTAACTAAAGTTTCAATTAGAGTCCCTTAAGTTGATCAAACAACAAGGTCATACATCTAGTGAAAGGTGTTGATTAAAAAGAGGCAAAGAATGAGGCCACTAAAATATTCTTCTCAATTACAATTGAAGACAACAAAATTATTAAATCCTGGCCTCTAGTGCAAAATGAGTTGTAATTACCCCTTTAGCCAAAGAGATGATGCCGAAATGTGGAAATTTAAATGAGACAGATCGACATAGAATGATTGAAAATCCTTACTTTAGAGAGCTTAGGCGTTCAGCTCAAAAACTCGTGAGCTTTATGATAGGAAATCAGTGGGACGTATGTACCTCTTGTGAAGAAATATCATTAAAAGCTTTTTTCGTCAGTTTTTAACATCAGAAAGTGTTTTCATTGTATATAAAAAAATCTGTCAACAGTTTGTAAAAACAAATTTCATATTGATTCGTTCAGTACGTCCTTTTCAGTGAAATCTCCATCAGCATGAGTCATTAAGATAAGTGTTAGAACTCCACTCTGTAGACTTATATTTCCAAAATGGTATTCACTACCGTGTACCCTCTATTTTTCAACCTCTTCTAAACATTTCTGGAAAGGGCAAATCTCCAAAAAACAAAACGAAAGAACGACCAATGTTCAGTTATCTGTGTTTATTTTATTTTAATGTTGACATTAATTGAAGTGTAAAAATTGCATTTTAAATGTATAGGGAATGTATTTAAGCGTATTATTCAAATGTAAGTGTTTAATGTGCTCTATTCAGTAATCAGAAATCTTTACTGACGACAGATCCAGATAAAAATTTGATATAGATGTATACATATTTTTATTCCATATTATTTTCCTATTTCAGATATTGCTCTTATTGAACTCTCGGAACATAATTTGAACAATGTTAATGAAGTTGAGCCATTCCTTCACTCCAAGGTAGCGATATTACAACAAATGCTCTGCAAACGATGCAATTTGACAGTTGTGAGTTCTCAAAATGCCGAAAATGATTACAGGAACGATTCCGATGTTGATAATTTAATAGAGTCCAATCAAGCGTTCATAATTGTACCGAGTGTTCGAATGGTGGATGATGAAATTTATCCGGAGGTCCAAGTAGTTGTCAAAATTTTGAGTTTTCTACAGTCTCGGAGGGATCTCTGTGTATTTGCCTGTTTATTCAAAGATAAGCAAGCCCTTCATAAAATTCAAGATAAATACATTCATTTCCGTCGTACCCCAACTTTCACGTTATGTAATTCACGACAAGCGAATTCCTTGTCAAATAGAAAAGTGAATAAACTTTTGCATTACTTAAGCGATAAATTGACTCATTCGGAATGTTTAAATAACACACATCAGCTGGTGTAATGAAAAATGTAGATATCGAACAGAAATCAAGTTTGAAAGTTCATCGGAACAATGCAAATTCGGAGCAGAGCAAACATACTAAAAATATGAGGCGGGATCAAGTGCCATGGAGGAGTACGCATTTCAACAGGTCACATTCACCGTGTGTTCCTTGTCATGATCGGGTAAATTAAAAAAAATCCGTAGATAATTCAGTGTGAAAATAATGACCTAACAATATGTATGAAAAACGTCAATCAACATTCAACTTAACTTGGAAATATAACACAATTTCATTAAACCATTATTAGGTCACCTGAATCACTCAGGTGACCTATTGCTATCCGTTTTCGTCCGTCGTCGTGCGCCGTGCGTTAACATTTGAACATTTTTAGCTTCTTCTCTGACACCGCTCAACCAATTTCAACCAAATTTAGTATATAGCATCTATGGGTGAAGAGGAACAAAAATGGTGAATTTCATGGTCCCTGCCCCCCTGGGGCCTGAGGGGTGGGGCTAAAACCACCAAAATTAATGCAATCTTTAAAAATCTTCTTCTTTACTCCTGAACATCAAGCAGTCGAACTGTTGGCATGATTGTAATAAGCATTGAGCCCTCTACCAAAATTGTGAAATTCATGGCCCCAGGGTCAGGGGTTCTGGTGCTAGGGCGGGGCTATATAGATCATATAGTGAAAGTGCATTATTTCTTTGAAAATCTTTCTTCTCTGCTCCTGGGTATCAAATAAACTATCTCATAGTTCATAGTTATGAAGAGCAAGAGTGCCTCTTCCAAAATTGTGAAATTCATGGCCCCAGGGTCAGGAGTTCTGGTGTTGGGGGGGGGAGCTCTATTGACTATATAGCGAAAATGCATTAATTCTTTGAAAATCTTCTTCTCTGCTCCTGGGTATTAAATAAACTAACTTATGTGCATAGTTATGATGAGCATGGTTGCCTCTTCCAAAATTGTGAATTTCATGGCCCCTGGGTCAGGGGATCTGGAGTCAGGGTTGGGCTCAATTGATATATATAGTGCAAATGTATTATTTCTTTGAGAATCTTCTCTCTTCTGGATATCAAATAAAACTAAGTACATAGTTATGATGAGCATGGCTGCCTCCTCAGAAATTGTGAATTTCGTGGCCCCTGAGTGAAGGGTTCTGGTGTTAGGGCGGGGCTCTATTGATTATATTGGGAAATGCATAAATTCTTTCCAAATCTTCTTCTCTGCTCCTGGGTATTTTTCAAACAAAGGAAGTGCATGGTTATGATAAGGAAGATTGCCTCTTTCAAAATTGTGAAATTCATGGCCCCTGGGTCAGGGGTTCTGGTGAAGGGGTGGGGGGTGGGGGGCTCTATTGATTTTATAGTTAAAATGCATAATTTCTTTCAACTTATTTTTTCTACTACTGGTAATAAAGCAAAGAAACAAGTGTATAGTTATGATGAGCAAAGTGCTCCTTCCAGAAGTGTGAGTTCATGGCCCCTGGGTAAGATGTTCTGGTGTAAGGGTGGGCTTTATTTATTTAATAATATAGTGAACATGCATTTCTTTGAAAATATTCTATGCTTTTGGACATATTCGAGGCAAACAGAGTAAAAGTTTTAATACGCAAGGGTATTTTTACTAGAATTTTGAACACCTGGATTATTTAGTCAAGTGTTCAGGTCCTGGCCAGGGCTCTATGAAGTTGTATTCTGTTGAGCAAAGTTATTCCCCTTTGCCATTCACCTTTGATAATTAATCACTGTAAATAATGTATTTGAAAGGTTAATAGAATAAGAGAATTATGCAAGAATATTTATTGTATAATACAAAAAGTACTTTCATAGTTTTAATGATCAGGTAGACTTGGAAATAATAGATGAATAAAAGTGAGGCAAAAATAACTTATCTTTTTTAATGTTCTTCAAAGGCCAAGGGAGACCAATGTGAGAAGTATTAATATGGGGTTAAAAATAGACATTTTGTTATTTATAGTCTGCATGGTAATAGTGATAAATGGGGGAGAGATAGATTCTATACCAATTATTTTGTTGATGCTTATCATACTATTTTTCTTGCTGTTGGGCAACAAAGCTTCATTTATCAGTTTATGGATCCTCTAAATTGTTGTATTGTACTCAGGTGACCGTTAAGGCCCTTGGGCCTCTTGTATAAATAGTCCCACATTATATCTACCAAATAAAAAAGAAATAAAGCTTGAAAACTATTCTGATTTTTGTTACTTATACATGTACTTGGTAGGGATGCCCGATTTTATCGGTATATCGATATATATTGCGATTTTTTATTGCGTGATACGTATCGTGATACGGAGACTAAAATACCGGTATTTGGTTTCTAATTATAAATTCCGGAAATCATTCATTTATTTGTGGAAACTATTGAAAGACAATTACAGGAAGTATAAAAAATGTTGAAAACGGTTAAACAACGGCATCCAAACACGCATTATATTAAATAAATAAAAATTTAAAAAGTAAAGTTATGTTTTTATACATATTTTTAAGAAATATTATGGAAATTCATTTGAACTTAGTAAAAAATGGTGTGTAAAAAATATCAAGATTTATAGTGATATTTTTGAGAAAAAATCGTGATATATCATGATACGAAATTTTTGCCGATACCCATCCCTAGTACTTGGAATGTACTTTCATTAGATTTTTAAATATTTGAAGATTTTGATGGTCCCAGAGGCGCATTCACCCATGCATAGTAATCCTTCACCTACAACGCAAAGTCCCCTTGGCTCTTTTATGCGCTGCTGTGGAGAGAGAAACCGAAGAAAGGCACCATCACAACTGAGAATGTGAACCCCGTGGTTTGCCCAGTCGGTTACAAGAATATTACTGAAATAGTCTGTTGCTATCGAAATTGGTTGGAAGGACTTGTGTTTGCTTGATTCGTTGTTGCCCTTGTATATAAATCGGGGCTTACCAAATTTGTCCATGACGGCCACTGAGTTTTGTCGGTGATCTGTTGTTCCTATATCACCATTTTTGTTCACTGCAATATAAAGTGGATGATGCTCAGTCGGATAGAGAAACTCTTGCTCAATGATGCCTTTTGAGTTGTACTGTACAACCTTATGGTCTTCTTTGCTGTGGAGACATACAAATAGTCGTTGACCATCCTTGAACTCAGAACTAGCCAGACCTTTCGGGACCCAATCTCCAAACTGGGCAAGTGTCTGAGTATTGCCTTCGGAGGTTATCATTTTAATTGTATTATCTGACTGGTCACTGTACAAAAGTAAACCCTGTGTGGATGCAGCGATATACGAGCTTTTGTGGCACACAGTAAAAGAGTCAATGTAATGACCACTTGAACTGAACTGTTTCATGGTCCTGCTGTACCCTGCTGCCCAGAAGCGACCATGACTTGCAGCAACGATGTCGTAGATTTTGTTTCCTTGATCGTCTGGTGGAAAATCTGTTTCGATCTGTGAAATCAATAATGGGTGTTTGAGAATACATTTTGCTATTTTCTGGGGTGCTTCAAGAGGCACTTTGTATCCAGTAAAATCAAGGGCTTTAAAACTTTCTAAGCTTCCAATAAGAGTCCTCAGTTTCTCCTTTGCGGGTGATTCAACTACAAATTCTGATTGTATGAAATCAGTAAGAGGGGGTATCGAGCTGAAGCTCTTCATCTCTGACGTATATTGCAATAGTTTAGCTCGATTTTTTGAGGCACTTAAATCAGAATTATACTTTATTGTGTTATTTATTTGTTCCAGGATTTCCTTAAACATCTCATGTTCTCTCTCAAGTAATTTCAACTGATCAATTTCCATCTGCATAAGTTCATTTTTCAGATCTATGATAACGTCGTCAACGACTCGATGCCATTTTACACCACTGTGTTCCACAATTTCAGAAAGTGATCTATAATGTTTCCGAACCGAAGATATTCGGAACTTGATTTGCTGGATAATTTTCATGTAGACCGGTTTAATAGTGAATTCTAATTCTCTCTGCTCTTGTTCCAATGTCTGAGAAAGTTTATCAATTTTCTCCTCGAAGTCCGCAAGATCATGGGGTTTGTGCTTTCCTGTGCCGCACTTTGAACAAATTGGTAAATCACATGTTTTACAGAACATGTGACATTCTAACTCTGGATGGGTCCTGCATTTTTGTGATGTGAACTTCTTTTTACGCTTAGTGTTCAACACAATTTCGTGTCCGTCCTCTGACCGTTGTTGTAAGTGGATGGATACACAATTCGTACACAGTCTACTTTGACATGGGTTACAGAAACACTCGGCCGGTTTGTCACAGTATTCACACGTAATTATAAACTGTGCAGCCATATGTCAATCACTTGTACCTGAAACAGGAAACACGTGTAAATGAATATATATTTCCCGAAAATACTCAAGTTTTCATCACTAAACTCTATTTAAATTTTCCTGCATAGGATAAAAATAGATACATGTACTATACCCAAATTATATATACATGCACGATTAATATTTAAATTCTGCTCACACTGGGATAGTGTACATTTACGCTTTATTTGATGTCGAAAGAATGTAGCACATTCAAGGAACATATCCATCATCGAATACTTGTAAATATGACTGAATTCGGTTTGGAATCAAAGGAAATAAATACATTTACTTTTATAATTTTTATATTAAACTCAAATTCAGATTAGATTTATGCGGGGAATTGTGATATTCTTCCTGAAAGTGAAATTTTCAATTTAATTTGATGATCAACTCCTGTAATATCCAAAAACCCCACATATCGCTCGAACGTTGCGCCTAAAGATTGGCATTGATTCACTACCTGATCGCTTAACTGCGTAGACATTAATTCTAAGATCTCACTAATATCTGACACACCACAAAAGACGTTTTAGAAAATGAAAGTAACATGTCTTGATATAAGTATTTAATTTTTAAGTAAAAAAAAGACATGGAAATTCTATAGAAATGAAAGACATTTTAAACTGTGATAAAGATTGACGGGTTTGGAATCAGGGGGTCGTAACATAAAGCTTGCTAAGTTTTTGACTTAAGTAGGGTCATAAGTATGTTTTAGGTGCAATCTTAAGACCTGCCTAAGTACTACTTAAGTATGTCTTAAACCGTAACATAACACGGACTTAGGTAGGTCTTAGCTATAAGTCAAACTTATGTTCAAAATATTTGTTATGAATCATCCTAGTTTTTCAATTTATTTATATATATATTTGTAAAAATGATTTAGTTCCGTTTTTAATCAGATATATATTAAGCTGACGTCCTTACCTATCGGTTTTACATGTAGCTACATGTAGGGTAGATTAGATTTCGTATTTAATTAAAGTTAATTCTGTTTAAATTATTCGAAATACAATTTATTTGAAAACAAATATTGCACGGTAGTGGTTCAGTAAATGCGTGAATATTGTTTATCACTCGAGACTGCGATGTTTTCAGCTTACCGTTTGTTGTTATTCTTTCGTTTGACAAATGTTCACTTGCTTTCAAATTGTCATTCTCGCAGACATAAGCGAACGTCTATGTACTTGAAATTGAAACTCTAATAAAAAAAAAAAGTGCAAAACAATATGGACATTTTGAATTTTTTCCCTCCCATATCAGCAAGCAGAGACTGCAGACGTTTTATGATATACTTATTTACAACTTAATGAAGGATGGAAAAGAATTGTTTTCAGAAAATAATTTTTCGTATATCTCCAATTCATCAACAATTTCTCTCTCTCTCTCTCTCTCTCTGGAACGTTAGTGAATGGTAGTGAACCCTGTCTGAATCCTCGCTTGTTCAATCTAATTTACAGAAAATCTTTATTTGTTTCCAGTCATCATCCTTTAATTCACCGACAATTTTTAAAATCATTTCATCTCATTTTTTTTTTTTACAGTGAACAAACAAATCCATGATTACTGTAAACAATTTACTTATAATGATTAGTGTTTATAACCTAGGTCCCACTAATATTTCAAACGTATCCCAAAAATATTATTTTGCATTTACATATATATGTCATTTAGAAAGTGATATTAGAATCAGTGATGAATAACACCCCCCCACCCCACCCCCCGAAAAACTAAAATTCTTAACTTGTACCAGTATATTAAATATAGAAAATTATTTTTTTTTATGCATAATATAAATAGAGGAATGTTTTAACATAGAAAGTCAACCTTAAATAGTTCTTAATATATGTTTAAGAAAGTTAAGACATACTTAAGTCACCTCTACCGGCCGCCTAAGTTTTGCTAAGATTGTCAAATCTTAGCACGTTTCTAGTTACGGTCTTAAGTTTAAGATTGTACTTAAGTCCTACTTAAGCATGGTCTTAGACTTAAGTACCCTTTATGTTACGACCCCCAGGTTGTCGCATCACCTAACGTCAAAAAAGTAAAATGATTGCTCCGTGAACCTTATGACTGCAAAGTAAGAATCATTGTATAGTTTCAAAATTTTAGTAAATGGATCTGATTTTTTTTTTACATATACCAATAAGCAAAATATGAGAATTTAATCAGACATATATCATTCTTTAAAGTACACGATAATTCCGTAAATCAATGTGTCCGCGAACTTTTCTAACAACCCTCGTATATGCATAACTTATTTTGGAGCCCCCTCCCCCTTTTGCTTCTCTTTTAATTCTATGTCAAAGAAATCACAACTAAGCAAAATACTTTCGAGGTGTGATTAAGAAAAGGTGCATTTTTTTTCTAGCACTATCTTTTAAGTGATAATTTATTGATCATATGGCTAAGAATGCCGAATACAGCACCACCAAAGCGAATTTCCTCTAATTTAAAGTGAGAAATTCATAGGAATTATCTGAATTAATTCAAAGCACATAATATATGACTTTTTTGAGAAAAGTTTTCATTACATAAAAATTAGGTACATTTTTTTGCTTTCAAGTACCTTACCTTTTGACAGAATTTCAATATATTTGCCAGGACATAACACGCGTTGATACTTCAACTAAAAAGGCGCTGAAAATCTGAAACATGAAACAGTTTAAGTAAACTGATATAAAAGACATTAAGATATGTTCGGTGAATTGGAACTTTTTTGATATGAAGTGTAAAACAGCATGTTTTATTATACCTCTGTGAATTTTTTCTATATAAAAATATTACGAATAAACATGCTATTTTTTCCAAACAGCCCCTACCGTGGAATAGTTTTTGTGCAATTTGCCCATGGTGAAATAGTCATTAAACTATTCACCGGCAGCATTCTGTTTCCCTCGCTTTTCATCTCGGAACTCTTCTGGTTTTACACAGATTGTGACGTAACACAAGTAAAGACTGCTTCGGTATAATAAAACACTTATACACTGACTATTCAGACAATAGCAAGTTTATCGTTCCCCTCGGCAGCAACTATTTCCCTCGGCTGCGCCTCGGGAAATAGTTGCTGTCTTGGGGAACGATAAACTTGCTATTGTCCTCATAGCCAGTAAATAGGTGTATAATACTTACTCTGACTTTCTTCAAACTGTATTCCCTATCATCAACGACGAGGCGATTCACCCAATTCAAACAGCAAAAATGTGTTTCAAAATGCAAAAAAAGACACCGTACTGTAACACATCCTTCTGGCCATTCAGAATGATATTAAGTACTATATTTGGAAAAGGAGGGCATGTCTTTGATCCTTATCCGTGATTGATACAAAATATCACTAAGTAACGAAAAAGACCTCTGACTGCAATGTTTCCTTCTAGTTATTCAGAAACTGAATACTATGTTTGGAAAAAGAGGACGAGTTTGTTCATCGATCGTCCGTGATTATAACAGAGTGCTCCAAAAAGCTATAAAGGTTTTTAAGGATGTCCTTGTTTGTGAATTTAATAGTAATACCTACATATTTACAAGTCTGACGCGGAAATGAACAACATCACTATATTCGAAATGGTATTTTTCATATTTAAAGAATTATTAGCTACATGCTTTTGGGTCTCTTAAAGGAGCAAGCTTGGCTTATAAAATGACATCTCGTCACATTGGAGTCAACCTTACTGGATGCTGCTCTTTCACGATAATTATTTTTCAGCCTTTCATATTAGCCTATTAAATTAAGCATGTTTTACATCTCACATAACAGGAAGAACTAAAACACATCATTAAATAGCACTTGAATTTAGGTGAGCACAAAGTGTAATTAAATATACCTTGCTCACATCGTTTAAATTGTTAAATTTTAAATGTGGAAAACCACTTTTGATTTTAATTTTTGAGGTAGTATATCTGAAAATATATGTCTGATAAGACCACATAAAGGAAATAGTTCCGAATTATTATACAACAAGATATTTGTTCGCAGGAACATACTTCCTGTTTTTAAATCCTTCTATTGTTCTTATAATATCTGTATTACTCGGTTGAAAGGAAAATTAATATTTAATCCATACTAAAATGCAATCTATTGCAATAATTCTATGTAAAAAAAAAAAACTCAATGATAAAATAAAATAAAAACTCCTATTTAACAGACAGACAATACGATTACAGTCGAGGTACAATTTTAAGTACGTTATGTGAACTCAGTGAGAAAGCACTTGAAAATAATAACCTAGAACCTTTGATATTCCACATTGTCAGTGACAAACAATATTGTTGGCAAGTAATGATTTATAAACTTAATTGACTATAATTTCAAAAAGAAAAATGAATAAAGAAATAGAATCGTATTATTTATCAAGGAAAAAATATACAATCCTAAAATACGTACAAGCCAATTATTTATTGAGATTATTAAATGGACTTCCAAAATTTATCTCGAGCATGCGCTGTTCAATTTCCTGCGTTCCATCCGAAGACATAGACGTTGATAAATTAAGAAGACTGGTATGAGGAGATTCTTTCATTATCGTATTTTCAGATAAAGTGTGGCTGTGTAGATTGTCATTGTATGGAACACAAGTATGGACATTATTTTCAGTATTCAACATTTCTGAAATAAGACACAAAGAATATGAAAGATTAAAGTACATCTAATACCAAACACCTTTCTAAGTGTAAATCGATATCCATCTCTTTGGCACTGACTTAGGTTGGCATTTACAATGTTCATAAAAACCTGAGAATGAATACAAGCTACAATGCGGGTGCGTTCGAATTATATCCCCCTAAGTTTTCATCGATATCATGGAAAACAATACAATGACACAGAAATATACCTTGCTCAACCTTTTTTCTGCTATTTTCTCCAACATCATCATTCCTATGGCTAAATAATGCACATCTTCTATTACCTTTAAGAGCAAAATTAAACGTAATAGGAATTACTACATTCAGGAAAACAAAGCGTTTGAATCATTAAGTTTGAA